AAAAGGGGGCGAGTTAAAGGATTGTGAGGATGTGTGTATATGTGTAAGTAAATGTGGCTCTGTTAAGTAGAGACCCGGCCGTCAGTGAGTGTTTGTGTTGTTAAATGTTAGTATGATATCAGAAGTGTAGAAGTGTGCAATGGGTCGAATTTTTGCATCCTCTTTGAGATTTATGCAGTCGAAAATATCATTAAAATTTGCGGTATTGCAGGTGGCGGCTTTAATAAAGAAGTTTCTATTTAATTTGTTGAAATGATGGTCAAAGCGGTCAATATTAAGATCTCTATGAATGGCATTGTTGCGGATAAACCATCTGGCTCCCGTGAGTTTTCTCAAGATGTTGTTTTGGAGTACGATAAGTTTTTTGAGGTCTTTTTCGGAGGCGTTACACCAGGCAGCTGAGGCGTACGTCATAATAGGACGTATCATCGAGGTATACAGGAGTTTTTTCAGTTTTAAACTAAGGTGTCGGTTATGAAAAAGTGTTTGAAGTTTGTTGGTTGCTGCATATACTTTATTTTTAATGTTATTTACATGGTCAGACCAGGTCAGTTTTTTATTAATGGTTAAGCCTAAATATATAGCTTTATCAACTATGCAAAAAGTACTTGCTCCTTATAATTCTTGATCTAATCAGAAATAACTAAATCATCATGGTATCTGAAAATCTTTTAATTCACCCAGGTAAATGAAAATACTGAAATAAGTTTCCCATCACAATGAGTGTCTTTGATAAAGGAAGATACATACATACATACGTACGTATTAGCGTTTTATATAATATAGATAGATTAGAATAAGAAGATAAGAAGAGCATCTAATAGAAATAATATTACGTCACAATTGCCTAGAAACAAATCATTTTTGCTTTGTAGTTTTGTAAAGACAAAAATCTTTGTTGAACTTGTAAACAATTCCTCAAATATGTTAGAACATTCCAAAGAAGAGTTCAAATAGTTATTCTATGAGCAATTAACTAAAAAAATTTATCAGTAATAACTCTATTTTCTTCTAAGATATGTAAAGTCAACAGGACTTAGCTTATCCTATGCATTTTATTCATATATTTTGGTATTTTTTTAGCCACGAAATTAATGCGATAAATTTTAATTTCTTAATATTTAAAATTTAATTCTAATTTGGTTGTTTTTACTTGAGGAGGGATGTGGGCGCAAGGCACGCATATCTATATTTTCACGCCCCGATAATTTACGTCATTATGACGTAAAATACACCTTATTAAATAAATCTTAAAAGATGTTTATAATATAATTAGAAAAAACCTTTAAGGTCAATTTAGAATTAATTAATTTCAGGTAATTTTTAATAATTTATTATCTGGATTTGCATGAGATAAAATTTTATCAATTTTAAAAAAAATCGTTACTCATTTATAAGAAAATATCAATAACTGTATTTCTAACCCTAAGTTCCGACATGTTTCTTTTTTTTTTCTTTTTCTTTTAGCAACTGTGACGCCAGAGCACCATTTCCCAATTTTTCTCGGCCATAGAACATTAAGTGATCGACTTACTTTAAGCGGAACCCCTAAGTTGTGATTTAAGTTTATTATCCATTGCGTGCATAATAGTCAAAAAATGAAAAAACTCTTGGAAATATTTAACGGAACTAAGTAAATGTTTCATCGTTTTGCCAATACTAATCTTAAAATTAAATTTTACATCAATCATTTGAATTCACAGGTCTAGAGAGGCATCTAGTCGAGTTTTGAACTAGAAAAAATAAATTTTTTTTTCTAATTTTGCTAGTTTCTTTTTACTGGCATTTACTTAAGCAATTTGATAATAGTAACCAATAATTTAAATAACTATTGGATTATTATTCGGATACAAATGTAATTAAAGCTTTCTAATACAATCGGCAAAAATAATTCCTAATTCTCAGAACCACTGTGGCCCTTTCACGGAACCCAAGAGTTCCACGGAACACCTTTTGGAAACCGATACTATAGAGTATTTATAACTAATCAGATAACAAGTGTTTCATTTTTCTCTTTTAATGTCATTTTTGTTATCAATACTTTTATTGATTCAGTTTATTCAAATAAAATAAGCAGCACGAATGAGCTCTCAGCTGAGGGATTATCTCGTGACTGCAAGATAGTACATCAGTTTCTATTTACATATTTATTTATTTATTTTCAGAACAAACAAGTGAAATGTGATCGGGAAATTTGTCCCAGCCGTAAATCTTGTTACCTGTTACTACACGGGCAAGATCAAGAAAAAAAATCCTGTTGCGATGCTTGTAAAGGTATGTTAAATCTTTACATTACTATGACGTGTCTATTTTTTCTTTTTAAACTAATAACTGAAAACTTTTTGTATTATTCCCCTCGGTTAGTTTTTCGTTCTTTCAGTAATAACTAAAGTTTATAGTTTAAATATTTTTTAAGTAATTTATTTTAATTAATTGACAAAAATTTGTAATTTAGTTAATTAATTTTATTTAATGAATTTCAATTTTTTAAAATTTTATCTAAACAATTCTGGCAAACAAAATGGGAGAAATTTTTTATGCTAATCGATGCTAATCGAAAAATATTTACATTTCAAAATATTTATCATTCATTATTAACTAAAAATTTTTTTAAATAAAACTTGTTTTCTTTTTCCATATTTTTTAATTTATTAAGTTTTTTTTCTTTGTATTATTATATTTATTCAAAAATGTAGTAAATGTGAAATACTACGCCGAAAAATGTAAGAATACTACATTCTTATCCCTAGAATACAATTTCAATTTCTCAATATTGAAATTTAATTTTTAAAATTTTTGAAATTTCTAATTTTTAATATTTTTAATTTTTAAAATTTTTAATTTTTAAAATTTTTAATTTTTAAAATTTTTAATTTTTTAAATTTTTAATTTTAATAATTATTAAATATAACTTTTCTTTCTGGTCGTCGCCATTGTGGAGCTCTGGGCAAATGTCCTGCTTGCAACCACCATTGCAACAGCTCTGCTTAATGTGTAAAAAAAAAAAAGAAAAGCATCCACAACTTAAATCAAATAACGCCAGCCAGCAGACCACTTTATTTAATTCCCACCTTCATCTCCTTATCCTGGTGCTCCTTTTTCTTTCACCGTCTTGGCGAGCGGATGTGGCAGACTTTGGCGGAAATTATCCTTCATTTGGTCGCGTTCCAAAAAAGATATCGAGTTGTTTTATAGCGGCACGCGTTTTAAAGCATCACGTTTTTTTATTATGAAAAACAAAAATGAATAAAAAAAAGGTGGTATTGTATTCATTTTTGGTAGTAATCTTGTGGCGTTTTTAACTAGCAAGTTGTAAACGACCTTTTCCTGAAAGGATGTGGGATGGTTTTGATAGTTATGGGCCTCAAGATGCGTTGGCGATCGGAATGTGGCGCAAAAATTCATTGAAATGTCACCAGCGAACTATTATGCTTAGAACAATTCCTGAAATGGGCTTGGATGTTATTCAAAAAGAAATACAGTAACTTTAAAATTATTAGTTTTTGGAGAAAAAAATTTATGATTTTTTATAAATCATTGTATCTTTTGGCTGTTGCTCTGTCTGTTTAACCATTTTCGGCCAAAGATACGTAAATGGATCATTTCAATAAATATTCTTCATTAAAACTATGACGTATATTTTTTCACTTATTTCATTTTTCTGCAATTGTGAAGGGTGAGTCGTGATGGCTCAGGGGATAGAGCATTTGCCTTTCAATAAGGTGAACTGGGTTCGAATCCCAACGATTACTGGTCGATACGAATTCCGCATCTCCCTAGCACCGGCCCCAGTGCGGACGTAAAATAGGTAGAGACTCAGTGGTATACGGATTATGGGATAGAGTCTTCTTGCCGTCAAGTTAACCGGAGTAGTTTTTCGTGGTTTTCCTCACCATGTAATTAGTTCCATCAAAAAGTCCTCCACAAAGGCAAATTTCTCCCAATACTTGATCCAGGAGTTTCCCTGTATTCTAGATTGGGTTTGAAATTACAAGGCTGCGAAGTTGAACATTAGTAGTCGTAATTCCCAAATTGGGTCTGCTGTTCACTGACGGTTATAAAATAAAATGAAAAATTGTCAAGGGTTCTGAAGACATCTATAAAATAGCAATTCAATTGGAGTAAACATTTTCTGTTGAAAATTTTTTAAACTATTCTAGTTGGTTTTTTTTTTTTTTTTTTTTTTTTTTTTTTAACTTGTTACTGATACATTCAACTTTTTTTCAAAATGTATAACTATTCCATTTGAGATTAATCATATGTATATAGTAGATTAATTAAATTAAAATTAAACAAATGAATCATGAAAAACTAGTATTCAACTAAATGATTTGTCCATTGATATGATCAATTTTGCTTAAACGCACCATTTCATTTCTTAAAATAATATTATTTTTCATGCACGAAACTTGTTTGTTGTAATTTAACCATAGTTCAATGAAAATAATAAATATCATTTTTTATAAAATTTCTGTGCTTAACCTAAATGGGTTAAACCCTTATCACTTTTTAAATAATTGTGGACTTCTATAAAGATATCATAAAACTTCTTTCCTTAAATGATACCGTTACTTAAAATCAAACATGTAACAATCACAAATATGAATTAAAATTTGCCAAAAAATAATTGTCTTAAATTTTATTTCGATTAAAAATAAATTTTAATTTTGTTATTATTTGTTCTTTTAAAATACTATATTCTGTAAATTTTAAATAAATATTAAGAAAAAACTACTTTTTTTTAAATACAGACAATTAACGAAAACTAAATGTCAAAGTTTTCTCTTTAAAATAATATATTTTAAATATATAAAATATTATAAATATATAAAATATTATGAATAATATGTGAAATATTTTATTAATTAAATGATATATAAAATAAAATATAAAATATTTAAAAATAAAACCTTTTTTAAATAATATTTAACAATTTAAAAATTAAAATTAATAAATTAAAAGCCGGAAAGCAAATTAAGGAAAGGATGTAATCTCCTCATCAGCTCGCACGATTATAACAACAAAAAACAGTGTTTTCCGATACTGTATTAATGTAGCGAAAGTAAAATATATCTATACAATAGTGTGTGCATTTACTAGTATATAATTTAGCAATATGAGTATATAAGCATATGAGTATATGAACATAAGTGTGAGTATAGAATAATATATAGTGCGGAATTCGTATCAACCAGATATTGCTGGGATTCGAACCCGGTTCACCTAATTAGAAGGCGAAAGCTCTATTCCCTGAACCACCACGACTCTTCAAATTGTCATGGATATCATTGAGTTAAACAGAATGCTATTTTCTAACTCTCAAATATCTCATCTCTTAATAAACCTGACTACTCGTGACCCGGACTAACAAAAAAAACAAAAAACATTTTCATTTATTCATGAAAGTATCTAAGAATCTAATAAAACTTTTTAATATTAATTTAGTAAGGCAATACCGTCGTATCAGGACCAGCAAGCGTTCAAGACATACGAATTTCAATCTTTTAATTGTGATGATTTTTTTTTTCCGACCAAGTCAGGACATTTTTTTTCAAGTAATCATATTTCTAATTAAATTCGTAAATATTCCTATCATTATTGCTATCATTGAGTTAAACAGAATGCTATTTCCTAACTCTCAAATATCTCATCTCTAAAAAAAATCACCAAATAGACAGTTCTCGACTCCGACTAACCTAAAAAAAAAAACTATTTTAATTCATATATGAAAGTGTCCAAGAAAACCTTATAACATAAATTTAGCAAGGCAGTACCATCATATCAGGACCAGCAAGCGTACAAGACATAAGAATCTCAGTGTTTAAATTATGATTAATTTTTTTTCGTCGGCCAAATCAAGCCATTTATTTTATGTAATCACATTTCTAATAAAACTCGTATATGCTCAAATCGTTATTGATATCATTGAGTTTAACAGAAGGCTATTTCCTAACTCTCAAATATCTCATCTCTAAATGAATCGCTAAATAGACCTGACAGTTCGCGACCCCGACTAACCTTTAAGAGAACAGATGAGGAAGTTTTAAATCTGAGGCTCAGCAGTCGCAACAAAAGATATACGAAGTACCATCCAAACGAGCGTCTTAAAACTTCTGGCACGCGGTTCCTTGTTAAGACAGTGAGAAGCCCAATTAGCGTTGGCGAAAGAAGACAATCTCTCCAATGAATAAGAAGAAGAAAAAAGGACTCAAATAAATAATAAAAGTCTGCGGGATTGTGAACTGTCACCCAAATCATCTATCATGATAAAAGATACCTTGTGCCTTTCATATTTCGCGGTTGCGGTTCGCTTCTTTTCTACATGATTTGTCTCCACGTCTGTGCCTTGAATCTTTGCACGAATGATTAATGTAGAACATTTGAGGAATGAAAAGAAGAAGAAAAAAAATTATCTCTCATTCCATTATTTATTTATATATCCCAAGCTGTGACACAGATCACCGTTGTTCAGTTTTTTTTTTTCTTTAAACCACAAGAGAGTGACGAATTCGACATTGTGGTTGCGATGATGAAAATTTTTGACAGTCGTGCCTGATGGTTGGCAATTAAAACTCATAAATGAAGAGTGAAGTTATGTGAGGGCTGATTTACAAATCATGGGACCCTGAGTTTCAGCCAGTTGTTTTGGGTTATTAAAATCAGAGCGTTGCGCAAGAAAACGGTAGTATTTTAAGTATTTAGTCACTTCCTCTGTGAGAGTAATTTCTTTTTTTGATGATCAGAATTGCCACCTCTCCACCCAGATTGTATATTTTAAGGTCGCAAAAGCCTTTTTTTCCCCTTAGGTTCTAGATTTATTCTAAAAAGTCCACCCCCACTCAAACCGTGATAAAGGAAATTAATCCCTGTATCGACGAAATTCAACTACATTCACCCTTTAATGCAGATGGTACGCGCGTATCCCTTATAAATATATATTTTTCTAGCTCTCCAATTACAAGTAAAAATATATTTGAGTATTTTTAATCATAAATAACAGTCTAACATTTAATAAAAAAATCTGTTAGATTATCGGAACTATGTTTGTACTGAAATATAAAATCCAAAAGAAAATGTTAAAAAAAAAATTTCCATTCATATTCGACTGTTTATCAATAATTGGTTTTGTAAATTAAGGAAGTTTGCATGATGGATAACTGTTTCGCTTAGATCAAAATAACTGCAAATATGAATAATTATCGTTTGGGAGTGAGCCGTGTTTGGCTAATTTTACTTTTAACGAAAAAAAAAAAAAAAAACGGTGTTCTTATGCTGTTATTTCATAACCATCAATTATTAAAATGCTAAATTTTTCATTTATTTCGACCTGAATTAATACAAAATAATGTAAAAAGTATAAAAAATATATTTAAGCGTCGAAATGTTCGGTGAAAAATTCGACGTTTTTATGCGCCAGCAAAACCGATACTTTTCACTTACTCCATATGCTGTTCCTTACATCAAAATGTTTTCCTTAAAAACCCTTATTTTCTATTAAATTAATTTCCTTTCATAAACATGGGACTAGCTGTTGCGCTATATGACCATTTTTTATGTTTCAAGCCTTGAAGGACGAAATTGAACACTGTATCAACAAAATTCAATCGCGTTAATGCAAAGCGGTCACTGAAAATTTCGCAAAAGGCATTTTATCCTATATATTTTTCTTGTATAACCTTATACTATATACTTTATAAATCAATAAAAACACAGATCCTAAATAACTTTTAATCTGAGATTGGATTTTTGCATACTAGGACTCAATACTAATGGTTCGAGCGGGGGACCTCAAATATGCTAATTAGTCAGTGCAGACGATATTTTAAGTTACAAAATCTGACAAAAACGTACTTTCTCTAAAAAAAAAACACACACGCATTTCTGTCTGACCACCAAAGTATGGGAGTTAGCCACAATCTGGAAAATATGGTCCAAATAGTTTGATCAGGAGAGCGGTTGAAATTTTGGACCCCTCATTTTTAATTTTACTTTTTTGCTAATTTGGTCCTGTCACGAGAGCTTTTCCAATAAATTGGAAAAATAATAATTTCGTATGTTTTTAATTTAAAATCTGTTTTTTATCAAAACTATTTCTTATCTTAATTTCGAAGCGAATTGTGTTACTAAATGAAGATTAAACCTGCAAGTATTACCCGTTGCAGTTAAGGGGATACGAAAACTTTTGAATTGATCAAATTAATTAAGATTAAATAAAAATATCCGAGATAAATAGTATTTTTAACTGTAAAAAAATTCAATCAACTTTTTCCTAATCTTAACTAACTATGATTTTACCGGTAAGCATTAATTAAAATTGAATTTTCTCTCACTTTTATAGGATGTTTTTATAAAGGAAAGCGTTATGCTAACGATGAAGAATGGGTTAACCCTGAAGATCCTTGTAAGCTTCTGACTTGCCAAGTGAGTTATATTCAATTTCTTACATTTATTTATACTGTAATGACTAGTAAAAATGGACAGTTTTAGATCATCTCATACCTTAATATCAAACAACGATACTAGAATGTCTTATTTAACTAAATTTCAGAGCTTCAGATATTTTGATTAAAATAAAATATTTCATTTTTACCTTTCTTAAACTACTTTTAAATTTGTTTCTACCTCAAATAAAGAAGTTATTATAAGAATAATGATGATTAAAATAATGACAATAAAAGTAATAAGAAGAAAAATAATAATCTTCGATGTACCACGCTCCCTCTCAACTGTTTAGCCCTTTCTCAATATGTTTTGTTTTTTTTTCATTATTCCTTTTTTTTCGAAAGCAGTAGTTTAAAATTTGTTTTCCTGATTTACTTGCATATATGCGTAATTCATATATATGTCAAAGAAGTAGACTACGCACTAACCGAATAAAAAAATTTATTTTACACTTAAAAGCCAAATTTAAAAACATAATAGCGAAATTTTAATTGTTTTGACAAACATGGAACGATATAAGCTGTAAATAATAATATATAAAGATTAATACTAGGCATAATGCAGAGTCAATTAAACATATTTTATGTACTTGTTCCATGTTTAATTGTATAATGCATGGTCAATGACTAATGTCAATGGCTGATGGAATAATGCATAGTCAATGACTAATAATATAATCCTAATCAACTATAAATTGTACACGAAGAAAAAAAATTTGGTAAAACTAACGTATTGTTTGGTATGACATTTTTTGTAAAAAAGGAAACAATAACATAATTCTGATTAATAAAACCAAAATATACCATATTTAAATTTTTCATTTGGTAATTTTCCTGTTATTATAGTAACTGCTTCCCGAAAATTCTGATCTTCAAAATTATAGTTCTTATTACCACATTTAGAAAACAATACGAAACTGAAATGTAAATTTAACCGAATAAATGGTTTTTATGCCATGCTCTAAAGTATCATGATATGATTACCAAATTTTACCACATTTAACAAATGATATCGTTTATTATAAAAGCATATTTTATTGTTAATTTGACCAAAATCATTACCGAAGCGCTTCGGTAAGAATTATCAAACAATTTAGTGTTCCCATAGAGCCAGACACACGGTAAATTTTACGGTATATTCTAGTAGTAGTTTTGACCATATTTTTTTCTCAGTGTATAATGCATAGCCCTGTATACATTCTTATTAGTCATATTATTAATTTTTATAAAAGAAAAGGTAATTTTTTAATAAATTTCAAACATTCTCAAAAAGAGTAAAATTATAAGATAGAACAAAAATCAAATTATAACATATTTTAGTGCAAATGTTTAAACTAAATGTTTAAAAATTTGATCTTCGAAATTATTTGAATACCTGTGAAACGCTGTAAAATTTTAAAGGGTTTTTTTCCCTCCAGAAAAAAAAACAGTGTTTTTATTACTAAGACTCAATAATTTCTCCTATTTTCAATCCATTTAATTACGTACTACTGATTTAACAACATATATATTACTAGCTCAAATTCCGCAGCAAGTAGACGTTACATAATATTTTTTAATAGAATAAAATACGAAATCGGTCTTAGAATGAAGTAATTTTTTTTTACAGTCAGAGTTTATCACTGTTTTAAAATTCCACATTAATTTTTTTTTTACTTTGCAGATAAAATGAGTTGCTATTCCGAATAAATATATATATATAAAAAAAATTTTAATGATTTTTTTTGTTCTTTATAGAAATTAATAGCTTAATTTTTTAACAGTCAGAGTTTATCGTTGTTTTCAAATTCCATATTAATTTTTTTTTACTTGGCAAATAAAACGAATTGCTATTCCGAATATATAAAAATGGAGAGAAACTTGCTTAAAATAATTTTTCTTGTCCTTATAGAGATTAATAGCTTAATTTTTTTTTACAGTCAGAGTTTATCACTGTTTTCAAATTACATATTAATTTTTTTTTACTTGGCAAATAAAACGAGTTGCTATTCCAAATATAAAAAAATAGATAGAAATTTGTTTAAAATAATTTTTCTTGTCCTTTATAGAGATTAATAGTTTAATTTGTTTTACAGTCAGAGTTTATCGTTGTTTTCAAATTCCATATTAATTTTTTTTTACTTGGCAAATAAAACGAGTTGCTATTCCGAATATAAAAAATAGATAGAAATTTGTTTAAAATAATTTTTCTTGTCCTTTATAGAGATTAATAGCTTAATTTTTTAACAGTCAGAGTTTATCGTTGTTTTCGGATTCCATATTAATTTTTTTTTACTTGGCAAATAAAACAAGTTGCTATTCCGAATATAAAAAAATAGATAGAAATTTGTTTAAAATAATTTTTCTTGTCCTTTATAGAGATTAATAGTTTAATTTGTTTTACAGTCAGAGTTTATCGTTGTTTTCAAATTCCATATTCAATTTTTTTTTACTTTGCAGATAAAACGAGTTGCTATCCCGAATATATAAAAATAGATAGAAATTTGTTTAAAATTATTTTTTTCTGCCCTTTATAGAAACTATTAGCTTAATAGCAGATAGGATAATATAAAATAGTGTTGTTTCTAAGAAAATGACGTGCATTTTATTTCAGTTTAGAGATTAAAGCGATTGCGCCTGTGATCAGATTACTGTTTACGAGGACGATATCTTTTGTTGAAAGATGCTGTTTCATTAATAATTTCTATAAAAGCGTATGAATGACCTTAACTAAAAGGGCTTTGTCGTTTCTTTGAATAATTTCTCGGAAAGGCAAGTGATTAAATTCAGCTGTCAGGAACCGACATGAAATCAGGCAACTTCCGGTTTTAGCGAGTTGACCGGAAACTAAAGTTAGGTTCCAAACATCCTTGAAAGTATACTTTTTAAACCTTTTCCATTTAATTCCTTATTAAATATTCTTTATATCAAAATTTGTTTCGTAAAATTCAGATAATATAAAAAAAAAAAAAAAAATAGAAAGCTTTCCCGCCTTTTTTTGATGACCTTGTTTAAAGTGGATAGAGGGTCGTAGATCTCGTCCTTTAAGAAGAAAAAGGATTGCGTATATATTCTTTTTTTTTTTACATTTCCTTGAATATAAGAATTAGCATAAATTTTTTTTTTTGGCAATTTGCGGGACATTACATACCTCGCAAATTAATTGGATAAAAGTGAAAAAGTTGTTCTTTATAAAAATCTCTTTTATTTATTCTATTTTTACATATGCTGCCGGCAAAGTCTGAAATTTGGTATTCTCTGGAAAAACCTAGGCTTTTTATAGATTTCCAACGATTTTCCGGCAAAGAATTGGATGATTAAATATTTCACATATTTGAATGAGGACATGGAATATTTTGTGCAACGTATGAATAAAGCAAAATAACATGAATAAAGCTCAAATAAAGGTGCAAAAATGGACATACTATAATTAAGGTTCTATAAACAAGAACCTACCTCAGTGTCTGAGCACAAAATGATAGAAGATAAGTAAGAAGACGAATATCTAGCAATAAAAAAATGGCTTAACCAGTTAGGAAAGAGGAGCAAGCTTGAACAAGAATGATTAAATATTTTATTTATTTGAATGGTGGACATTGTATATTTTGCTTAACATATGAATAAAGTACAAATAAAGATACAGAAATGGACATACTATAATATATGTTCTATAAACAAGAACCTATTTCGTTGCCTAAACAAAAGGACAGTAGAAAAGTAGCAAGACAAACAAGTAGCAATAAAAAATATTTTAAGCTGTTAGGGAAGAGGAATAAGCTTGAACTCTAAAATAAAAAAAGGAGATAAGAAATACATGTGAGGAGGTTTGTTCGGAGCCCCAGAGTGCAAGTTACATAAATGAAATTAGAATAGATTTTCAAATATTGAGAAAGAATAGGATACTACATAGATCATTAACTAAATTAGTAAAATTTTTCAAACTATGGAATGATTCCTAAATGTCAAAGTCAGTAGATGAAGAGCAGTATTTAATGATTTTAGCAAAAGAAAATTTAAACCTATGATTAGAATTTCTATTATGGAAGATGGAAGATGTTATATCCTAATTCTGAACATGTCTTTCATGTTCTTTAGGTTGAAATTCAAAGGCATCGACCTAAATTTTTTAGGGTTAACTAAAAAATTGTTACTGAAATTAACCATTTTTATATGTATTTCTGTTTGTTTTAATTCTGAAACTGTAGGGGTACTTATATTTAGGAGTGATATCCCCACCAGCCAAGGGGGGGAGAGTCGACCCCTCTACTGTAGCACAATATTGTATCCAATCCATAGGAGTTTGTTTAATTATTTTACTCCACATAAGAGATAGAAGCAGAATCCTGTCATCATTGCTAATTAATTAATTAACGTAATTAAAGCTCCAATCTGGAAAATGGTGTTTACAGATCACACCTACATTAATTTAATCAGCAAATAAGATTAAAATAAAAAAAAGGGTTCATTTTCAAAGTTTGTTTATAAGTCTAGAATATTGTTGCAAAAGAAGAATTGGCGGAAGTAGAGACATTTAAAGTTAGACGGCCCGTCTTCTCCAATCTTTGATAAGAAGGCGTTGGCGCATGTACTGACCTTGTTGTATCTTTCAACTGCTCAATAATTAAATTTACGTCAACATAAAACCATCAGATAAAAGTCGCAACGTCACGACAGTTTATTTTTACCGAAACAATCAGAAATCGTAACATGAACAACAGGAACATATATTTCGAGTATCGATTTGTTCTCGAAGGTCCGGTTGCAAAAAGAAAGTAACTCTTTTTTAACATATGAATAATACTTTCCCAAGGAGGTGCTTTGTTTTGCGATGATAAAAATTATCTTCTGTAATGTAGCTTTGTTAAGTTAAATATATAATTCGATGCTTTAAAAATAATTTATTATAATTTAATATTTTATATAGGGTTAGCAACGAAATTCCTACTATATATATATATTTTTTTTAATTTTAATATTCTACATGCCATTAAATATTTTTAGCATAATGTTTTAAATCATTCAACGGTGGGTGTTTTGTTCTATCTTTTTAGTTCGAATAAGCTTATGTTAGTTTTTTTGTTCATAATTTTTATGATCATTGAGAAAAATGATCATTTTCGACGCATCTCCTTCTTTTTGCTTTTAATCAAAGTTGCAAGGCCGCAAAAGCTGCTTGTGACGTTTGTGCTGCGTATGGAGAGGATGCCATTACTAAAATTTAAGACAGATACTTTATTTACGTCACACTAGAGCTGCACAATGGGATATTGGTGACGGTCTGGAAAACATCTCTGAGGATGATCAGAAAACACGCAATCACAATTTTGATCCTCTGATGATCGCTTCTCTGCTTTGGTAGCCCGACGACCAGCTTGAAGTCGAGAACTTCACGGTAAAACAGCTTAACGAAGACCGATAAAGCGCACCCTCGGTCTCTATGCAGGCTTATCAGAGAGGTCACTCACCCGCTTACTGACCGCAGTCAGTGAATCTTATGTTCTGGAACCGTTTCTTTACTGCAGAACAGTAAATTTTAAGAAGGAAAATTTTTCCTTCAAAGACACCATTCTCTGACCATCAAGTTGGCTTCATTGAAGAGCGATTAAACCAATTTCTGCACGAAAATTCCAGTCAAAGGAACTAGCAGAGAAAATGGAATGCATGACACTTTTAAAATCGGCGGGAACTTAGGTGCTAATCCATTGCGTATTTAAAGAGGCCTTTTTCCACTTCCAATTGGTGTGGGCGTATGGAGAAACATTAAATATGCTTTTAATCACCTTCATTTAATTTTCACTAATAAACTAATGAGTTATGTTTGCTTTGCTCGGCAGTATTTATCAAAACATTTGAAGTACAATGTCGTTATCCAATTGAGTGGGAGATATATAGAAGGTCTTTTTCGGAAATTTCATCGGATTTTTTTTTTCTTTTACATAATTTTACAAATACAATTAATTCTCTTATCAGCATATTCATGAAAAGGAGTTTGCTTTTATCTATTTGTCAGTTATTAAATTTTTGAGAGACATTTATGCTTTTAACGAGAATTTCAAATTTAAGATAGCTCTTATCAATTAGTACTTTATTAGCCTTAACGTATCCGTAATTAAAGTTTGATGATAATGATGTTGAAAACCGTAAATAAATGTGTAATGGACCAAATTCAGAAAAACTTGGAAATATTGTTAGCAAAAATACTGATTGATGTAGAGAGAATGTCAGTTCAGAATAGATTTCTCCTCACTATTATAGATTAATGTTTTACTTGACATCTATACTTAATCAAATACAATCAACGAATCAATGTGAGCCTTCAGGCTAATACTGAGAAACAGTTGCTAATCTATATCTACGTATTTTAGGGTGGAATTGTAACAGAAACCTCTATCCAATGTTACACCTCTTGCCGAAACCCCATACCTCCAGAACCTGGAAAATGCTGCCCGACGTGTGCAGGTAAAGACATATTTTTTTCATCATAATATGCAGAAATAAAAATTAAAATTAAAGAAAAATTTTTCAGAAAAATGATTTTTTAAACTTTTAATTAATTATAAATTGTAATTAATTTTAATTTAATTTTTAATAAATCTTAACGTTTAATTACGTTTTAATTCGGAATTAATTCTAATTTTTAACTTCAAATTTTAATTGCAATTAATTAAGAATTTAATTATTTTCAAGAATTAATTAATTCTTAATATTAATTTTTAATTACATTAATTTTTTAAGTAATTATAATTTTATATAGTTTTTAATTAAATTTTGAGTTTTAGTGAATTTTAATTTTAAACTAATTTACATTTGCATAAGTTTTTTTTAAATAAGAAATACTGCTGATATTTTAAATTTTTAATTAATTATAAATTGTAATTAATTTCAATTTAATTTTTAATAATTCTTAATGTTCAATTACGTTTTAATTTAGAATTAATTCTAATTTCTAATTTCAAATTTTAATTGCAATTAATTAAGAATTTAATTAATTTTAATAATTAAATTATTCTTAATTAAATCTTAATAGTAATTTTTAATTACTCTTAATTTTTATTTAATTATAATTTTATGTAGTTTTTAATTAAACTTTAATTTTTAGTGAATTTTAATTTTAAACTAATTTACATTTGCTTATGTTTTTTTAAATAAGAAAATGAAAATAATTAAATTTTTAACATAATTAAATTAATAAAATCAGTTTTAAATATTATCACAGACACTATTGATGCATTACAAATATTGAAAATTTGTGTATTATGAGAAATTAAAAGATTAGTACAAAAATCGTTGTGTGAACGTGAACTAACTCACGGTCCAGGTGGTGATTTTCGAATTTCATAGAGTTCATTAAACAGTCAATAGATAGCGTTTTTTGTCAATAACTGCAAATTAATGGAGGTGACATAATGACATCAACTTTCTCCTTTTTTTTGTGCTTTTAATGTTCTAATTACATACTGAAGTGGGGTATTTATTTATTTCAGATTGCTCCATCGACAATTCTAAAACTAAAGAGATTGAATTACCCTTACCTCTTACTGATCCCTGTGTGACGTGTACTTGTAAAGTAAGTTATTCAACTCTTTTTAACCGTAACTGTTAGAGACACGCGAAATTAATTTAAAAAATGTATTAATACGGAAAAACCTCAATTATTTTTCTTTACTTTATAAACATAACACTTTCGACGTTCTGATTTTTTTTTCAATTTTTCAAACTTTATTTATACATGGTAATTCCGTACCGAATTGTAAGGTAGGTAGGTCACATTATGAGGATTACGAATAGCATAACCACTCATGAATGAAAATGTCACTATACGCCGCTAGGGGTGCTTTCTGCTAAAAGTTAACTGTAATGCGCATTTGAAACGATACTTTTATTTACCTGAAGTATCTTAATATATACTTGATGAATTCCCGTTCGTTGTAAGGGGAAGTAAATAATCAATAATTAAGTGCGAAATAATGCTTAAAATGTTTCACGAAATTATAAGACATGTACAAACACAATAATTAAAGCTTAAATAGTTCCAATTTTATTTGTTTAAAGATTCCACAGTTAAGCAATTTTCTCCGGTACTTATCCTTTTAGAGAGGCTGTAAAAAATCTCCTTTCACGGTATCTATGATAAAACTGCACAGTATTAATGCAGTATGAATTCAGTTTTTATTGGTACCAAATTTACTAATATAATACATTTTACCTACATTAGTATATTTGCGATCTATTAAAACTACACCAATTACCGTAATACCAGTAGTGCCTATTATCAAATTTAATTAAACATCGTCTGTGTTAATCATATGGTATGGCAATTTTTTACGTTTCTCTTAAACGAGCCTAGGTACCAGTGATTTTGTTCTTTTTTTTTTTTTTCAATCACCATTAATTTTAAATTATTTAGATTTATGGAAACTCATTTTTAAAGTATAATTATAAACAAAGTAAACGAGCAGTTTTATATAACTTTAGAAATACTAAAAAAAGTCCCTTCAGCTTTAGAAAACTGCACAGGGAAAAACTGGTATTTTATGTAACTCAGTTAAACGAGAAACTTGTTTACATGTTTTGAACGAAAACTTACGCAATTTAATGGAAATTCTTGCTTTTATCTCTGTATTTTTTTATTAGGGAAATTGTTGTAATTTTTGTTGAATTATTATGTCTTTCGTAGGGGAACAGTAGCACTTGTTCGAAAAAGGCATGTCCTGTGCTTCCTTGTCCTCTAACAAAGCACGTTTTTAAACGGGGCGTGTGTTGTCCTGAATGCTTTGGTAAGTGCTCTTTTTCTTTTTTAAATGTTGAGGAAATGCATGATGCTTTTCTCACATCAGTCGCTTACTTCGCTTTTCATTAAATGATAATCGGTCTTAAAGAAAGGATAACATATCAAATGACAGAAGTTGCAATATATGTTCATTAGGAGCCGGGATAGCCTGTTTGGTAGGGCACTGGCCCCATGTCCAAGAGGTAGTGGGTTCGACCCCCTCCGGCTGAAGACTCCCCGTGTAGTAAATGGTGATGCACGTTAATTCTGTCAGGTCACAAAGTCCTCCATGCTCCCATAACAAATCAATATCTCTGGTGGTACTGATACAGAAGCTCCTTTGTTTTCTGGATATGGTTCAAAATTACAAGGCTACGGAGTTGAACAGTGGAAAATCTAGAATTGGGTCGACTGTTCAATTATAAAATATATATATGTATATATATATATGTGTGTTCATTGTAATATTGATAAAATCGACGCTACTCTCATCAGCCGTTTCCTTCAATTTTTATTCAGTGGTAAGACCAGATAATAATCCTGGTCAGAAAACAGGAAAAGTCCACTACGAGCACGCAGAAGAGGCGGCAAAAAAACACGTGCTCATTGTAATATTCATTGCAATATCGCACCACTCATCTATAGCAGACTGTCACAGTAGAACCTCCCACGGTTAGCCTGGCAGCAAGGGGACTCTAAACAATGATCTTCTTCCACTGAGGATATTTTTTTAACTATTTGTTTAATTTCAATTTATTTTATAACTGTTGTTGAACAGCCGACTCTATTTTGGGTTTACGACTACTAATGTTCAACTCCATAGCCTCGTAATTTTAAACCAATCCAGAAGACAAGGAAACTCCTGGATCAGTACCTCCAGAGGTATAATTTGTTATGGGAACATGGAGGACTTTGTGATTCGACAAATTTAACGTGCATGAGTCATCATTTCCTTCACGGGGAGTCTTCGGACCCCGGGGATCAAACCCACGACCTCTAGGACGTTGGCCGAGTGCCCTACCAACCAGGCTATCTCGGCCTAGTAGCCAACATATATCAGAACCGTGTAGTGTGCACCGACCACAGTGCTGACGTAAAATATTCTCAATGGTAGACAGGTCGTGGGTTAGCGTCACCTTGCCGTCAGGCTAACCGTGGGAGGTTTTCGTGGTTTTTCTCCCCATGTAACACAAATGCGAATTAGTTCCATCAAAAAGTCCTCCACGAAGGCAAATTTCTACCTGTCTCCCCAGGCTTTCCTTTGTCTTCTGGATTGGGTTCAAAATTACAAGGGGACTGAGTAGAGCATTTATAGTCGTAAACCCAAAAATTAGGTCGAATGTTCAACGACGGTTATAAAATAAACTAAAACCGTTTAGTGCTGAAACTTTATTACGGCGATAAGTAAATACGTGAGTCATAAATTTGGTGTTCTTTGCTGCTCGTGCGCCCTCTATATATTTCATGGCGAATAATATTTTAGATCACTTTTGCATGCTGCATCGATTTTTTAAAAATGTATGTGTTTATTTATTTATTATTATTATTTTAAATTGTAAATTGCAGCACTATTATGAATTTAATTAGAAATATTTTATTGTATTCTTATTATTTGTATGAACTTCCTTTGAATTAAAGTAAGTAATCAGAAACTGTGGTATAAAAAATACCAAATATAACTGAGAGCCTAATTATTCTGATTAGTGAAGACTTTTTTTTTTTAAATTTTATTTTTGCAGGTAATCGTCGACTCTATAGCAGTGAAGGAAAGTGTTTCCTAGGAACAAGAGAGTTTAGATCGGGAGATGAGTTTCAGCAAGATTCTTGTACTCTTTGTAAATGCCATGTAAGTCAATGATTTAAATGCATTCTTGTGTAAATTACACCGTTTTAACCCTACGACGCAGAATTTTTATTAAGCATATTTTTCATACTTTTTCATTATTTTGTACTAATTTAGGTCGAAATAAGTGAAAAATATTATATTTACCACTTTAATAATTTTTGGTTATGAAATACAGCATTTAACACCATGTCTTTTTATGCGTTAAAGATAAAATCTTCCAAACAAGACTCATTTCCAAACAAAAAATTTGCAATTTACAATTTACAAAATCAATTATTGATTAATTTTTGAATATAAATTTAAAAAAATTCAAACAACTTTTTTTAGATTTTATATTTTACTTCAAGCATATTTCCGATAATTTAACAGATTTTTTTAGTAAGTAACTTTTTCATGATTACAAATACCAAAATATATTTTCGCTTGTAATTAGGGCGTCAGAAAAAAATATCTAAAAAAGACATCAGTGTATCAGTGTATTGTGCCAAAAGGTTAAACACAAAAAATATGTAGAAAACATTTTTTTTATATGTAAACCTAAATTTATAGTTAATTATTAGTAACGAAAAATTAAAAAAAAAACTAATAAGTAACAAAAAAGTGAGTTCAATTGGAAAAGTGATTTTTTGTACTCTGTAAATGTAACGAAAGTTATTTTAAATGCATTGTGTAATTTATGCTGTCTTTTAAACAATCACAACTCTCGAAGAAAAAAACACAGCATAGTTTTTTTGGAACCTTCAACTTAAACCTTCATTGCCGCGAAATCTTATTCTTATAGTATACCTTTATCAATGTCATCAGATTCCATTGAGAATTTTTAAAGGTCAGTTGTTCTTTGTGACCTGATGTAGCATACAGGGTCAACGAAATAATTACATTCATAATTAACGAGTATTTTGTATATTAATATCACCTATATCTTTAAAAATAAAATAAAATAAAATAAAATAAAATAAAATAAAATAAAATAAAATAAAATAAAATGAAATGAAATGAAATGAAATGAAATGAAATGAAATAAAATAAAATAAAATAAAATAAAATAAAAGGGCTTATTTTCTGATCGCTTATGAAAGCGATCAAACTGCAAAAGGCATATTACATTCTTATTTTTTTTCAAAATTTGAAATTTAATTTTCATTTTTATTAGGACTTTTTAAAATACGATTTTTAGTTTAATTAATGATTATAATTATTAAAGAATATGGTTATTTACATCAAAGACTTCCATGAGCTGCTTAATTATGTTATTAATTGTAACTTCTTCAAAAAAATTTAATTCCAGGAAAATTATTAATGAATAAATTTCAAGTTTTCAATCGAAATTTAAGTATGTGACTTTTTAAAATTCGATTTCTCATTAACTATTCGACCAATTTCATTCAAATTTTGTATTCCGCTATTCAAATTACATTCTTTAAAATGATGTAAAGATTTTTATTTCTTAGAATTCAAAATTTTTTCATTATTAAATAATTATTATTAAAAAAATTATAAAATGTACTAAATAATTATTAAAAAGTATTTTTTGCATGTAACTATCTTTGGATAAATAAATTTACAGTTGTGTGTATAATTTATAATTTTCAATTCGCTTAAGAAAATATTTCGAGTTATGGTGAAATACGCAAAAAGTAAAATTAACATTAATGGGTTCAAAATCTTCACCGCTCTTATAACCAAACTATTGGGACCATATTTCCTTGATAGTGGTTACTCCGAATATTTTGAGGGTCAAAAATCAGTCGGAAAAAAAGGTATGTTTATTCGAAAAAAGTGCGTTCTTGTGTCTGATTTCATAATATAAAATATCGTCTTTATTAAACAAGTAGCATATGTTAGGTCACCACCTTAAACCATTAAGATTGACTCCTCGTAGGTGAAAATCTGATAATTAGAGGATAAGAAGTTATTCAGTGTGATATGTTTTTTTTTATGCTCTTTACATTAATATCTATGCTATTTAAAATAATAATAAAAATTTGATTTTTGTAATGATTCTGAGAATTTTATTTATAAATCTTACAGCTTGTAACCACAAGCATTTATTTATACACTATAAGAACTTCTGCAAACAGCAGAAGTCTATAAGCTTGATTTCTTAAAAAATGCTCTTAAATTTCTCGGGACCACTTTTGACCTTGAGTCTATGTTTTCAAAACCGATGAAAATGTTTACCTTCTGAGACATTTTGGAGCCTATTGCATCATTTTTCTCAATTAGTTTGAGTGTTTAGTTTGTAATCACACATGTAAGATGAGAAAATGGATTAAAATAATGTTGAGATATTTTAGTGGGGCGATATAAAAACTTACGAATTAAGTTCTAAAAAATTAAAGATTATCAAATCGATTTATCAACGAGAAAATTACACTTCGGTGAGCTTACTTATTCTAAGCTTGTTAAAGGCATTGCTTTTTTTTAAATTTAAAATAATTCCATTTTTGGACTTCTGGAGAAGTGTCACAATTGGCTAGGAAATTTTCCACAATTTATAAAATATTTTTGCAAAATAATTTAGTACTCCCATTAAATGTTTGATTCTTTCATAAAAAAATATTTTAACACGAAAAAGAGAGGAAAAAAAACGCAATTTTAAGTAAAAAAAAGTTTAGAAAAACTAATATTGCGATTGGACGATCAATATTTTTCTGTTTACAGATCGTGATATTAAAATTACGATATCGTTCAGCATTAATCTTGATTTGTTTGGGGTTTTTTTATTAAAAAAATTATGGCAAATACTTTAAAACGAATAAAATATATTACGCCTCATGATGCAAACGATTCTATAAGCTATAACTTTTCGCAATTGTTTCAGATTATTGCTCAGAAAATTTTAAAATTTAATTAGATGTTAAATTAAGACACGTTTTAAATAATTTTAAACAGAAATAGCTTTTAAATTCATACAGAATTTTAAAGAAAGTTTAAACAGATATTTAATAGAAAATATGTGTTTTAACACTTGGTAGAAACAACCATTTTTATTTATTTTAAACAACAACTAAAACTGGGATGTATTCGTTAGAATAATTACAATAAATAAAAACATAACTAGGCTTAAAAGTGAAAAATTTCATATCTTCTTTCCTTTTTCTTTTCAAAAAAGAAAATACAGAAGTATTTTTAAATTACTCATAAGTAAGTTTAACTTAAGGCATATTGAAAGCAAGCAAAAACGAATTTTCTGATTTTTGTTTTTGTTATTCGTTTTATATTTATAGTATACGATAAGACAAAATACGAGGTGACTTAGATCAGAACTGTCACTGACAAGAAAATGTTAGTTTCTTTTCAGAATATTTGCGACATTCTTTACAGGGCAAGTGCCCCTCCCTTGGAGGGCTTTGGAAGATCATTAATTCTTGTGGAAACTTTGTGTACTCTGGTTGAAGAGATGACAATAACAAACGTGACACTATGTGTTGTTTTTCTGTTTATAGAGTACTTGTTACTTATTGCCTTTAGTAAAATATAAATTTCAAGAAAATATGTTGAGATAACAGTTCTAAACAACAGAAATAGCCGCTCATATATGACCTTTTATCTGCAATGACGTCATATAAATCTTTTTACAATTGTTATCGTTTGCTTTAAAACATTAATGTATTCTTATTAAAAACAAACGATTCTTCCGAAAGATAATATGTATATTTGAGTTGCACCCAAAAAAAATTGTTTGCTAAATGGTATGAAGATATGCAAACAATCGGATGCTTTGAAAATGTAGCCGGTATTTTGCAATGCGGGGCGATTCTTTCGTTACGTGTGTTACTTTTACACGACATATTTCAACTTTAACACTTATTATAATAAACTTGTTAGATATTTTTTATGTTTTTCTTAATTTGTTGTTAAATCTATATGTGTTGTAAGTTTTCAAAACGAAGATTGAAGGCGCAAATTAATTTGATGTTGAAAAAAAAAATTTCTGAAATTTTGTTACGTGTGTTACCCTTTATAATGCTAGATATTTGAAACTTTGAATATATTCATTTAATTCTGTGAAGTATAAAGGCAAAAAATTAAGATATTTTCTTTTATAGAGAGATACAATATCGAAGCTGTGTTTAGTGATTTTTAAAAATTTCTTGCAACAGTAAAAACTTCTTTATTTTGGTGAAATTGGTGCGTTACGTGTGTTAACTGAACGTTACGTGTGTTACCCTCTGTGAATATTTCAACTGAGAAGTCATAAATGTTGCACTAAAACATTTATTTATTTTAATTTAGCAGAAGAAAAACAATTTATTTTAGCAAATAAAATAGTTAATGGTCTGGAAAGATGGTTGTAGCCCTTCTTTATACTGGTTTAGAGAGTAAAACATAGCAAATCTTAGGCACATCTATTCCTTCAAAATCATTTCTGTTTGGAAACAAAAATATGCATATTTTCCAATTATTTTATGCAAATATTGCATTTTAAGTTTACAAGCATGTGCATTTGCGTCAATAATGTTCCCGAGATAGAGCATATGTCGTTTTAATTTCAGTTATAGGCGCACTTCTGATCAGGAGGGAACAGAAATTGACTTACTGACTATTTGTGTGCCACAATGTGCATCTATGCATCTTATTCAAGTATCTAACGATACTTATGCATAGATTTTATGCTTTGTATTACCGTTGCCATGTATTGATCTTTTCAATTAATATCTTTATTTCCTTTTGGCTAATATATAATACTGTTGTATTAGGCATGAGTTGATTGGTTAGCTTTGCAAACAACACTGGATAGCAAATAAATTTTTTTGTATAACAACACAATGATATAAATAACTTTGCTTTTTGCTTCGCTTTCAAGATTTTGTACTACACACCTATCCCATAGAAGGAACTTCTGCATGTGATATCGTAAAATATTTCCAAATTAATTTCTTTTTTTATATTTTGATTGACAAAATATGAAATAATTCAACCATATATTTATTTTTAAATTCTTAACTTGACTTATTACTATAGAAGGTTTCTGTTAGCTCATCTTCTGAAGTAGA